TTGAGTATTAAGATGCACCGATCCATTTTTCCCAATCTAATCCAAATAAGATACATTATAAAAATACTAATGTTAAATTATTTAAACCTCAATATGTGAGGAAAGAAATCATTATGACAAACAAAAAAAGGTAAAAAAAAAATAAAATATTAAATCACTAGTCAATCCAATCCAGCTAATTAGTCAATATCCGAGCCAATTTCTGATCCTTTTCCTGAATATCATTGAGTTTCTAAAATATTTTCCTGGGTATCGATATCAGGATTAAAGTTTTACTTTATTGAAAACCCAAATCACAAGTGGGGGGGAAAAAAGCTACAGGAAAACCCAAAATTCACTGTTATTGATAGTGGTTAAAACACAGTGACCGTTACAAATACAAGTCAAATGATACTTATTCCATTTACTAAGGGAAAATCAAAGTATATTTTCTAAAATATTCATCCCATCTGCACAAACCCAGAAACCTAAAGAGAAATAAACAGAGATATTATAACGCCTTTAAACCTTGTAGATCGGGGGACGCTGCAGGCATCAGTGCTTTGTTGACGTGCCGCAGGATGCCAACTTCGGGTCTTTAAATGCTAAACACCTCAAGAAGTCAAGATTATTGTCCGTCTTTGTCGTTTAGGGGGTAAAAAAAGCTCCGCTTATTATTATCAGCAGATATACAAACACTATGAGGACAGATACGCTTAATGAAGAGGCTGCTAAGCAGAGTTAGCAAACGGCGCGGACTCCATTTCATGAAGGCCCTGTTAGCATGGGGCTAACAGGTTAGCATGGGGCTAACAGGTTAGCAACTTACCAGTGTTGGCCATTCCGGACCCCGCGGATGTCTGTGGCTGAGCCTGGGTGGAAAAATTAGTCCCGGGATTAAACTGGTGCGCCTGAGAGAAGGCGGCGTTGGGCATGGAAGCCGGATAACCCTGGAGGGAAGAGAACGAGCCAGGGGGGGCCGGGGTCGGCATCAAGCCGTTACCCGCTCCGGGCCCAGCTTCAAACCCGCGTTTAGCACCGATACTGGGGTGCAACTTCCCAAGGGGAGTTGCATTCGCTCCAGTGGCCATTTCCGATTAAATGCCCTTTAAAATGGCTTTTAATCGATAACCCTCAAGTTTACTCAGTAAATGGTAAATTTAAATAAAGTAAACCCGCTGGAGCGGTCCGCAGCACCTGCGTCTAATGCTTTAATCAAAATGGCGACCGACGGGATCCTAAGGGGCGATCCCAAATGACACGTCTTAACAAGACGCATTGCTATTGGGCAGCGGGACCCCTTCATTCTGGGATTTCATTGGCTAATTTGCTATTTTTTTTTTCTGATTGAAAGACGCCCATTCAACATTCTGGAAGAATCAAAAGGCACGAAGGTATGGAAGCCCGTTTCCGCCACTCTGTAAAAAAATAAAAATAAAAAATAAATCTCAATATAATGAGATAGTATCTCATAATGAGATAGAATCTCAATATAATGAGATAGTATCTCATAATGATATAGAATCTCAATATAATGAGATACTATCTCATTATAATGAGATATATATATATATATATATTTTTTTTTTTTTAATTTTTTTTTTTTTATTTATTTTTTTTAAAGAGTGGCGGAAACTGGCTTCCTCTCCACTGTCGCTACAAGCATGCTTAGTGTGAGGGATTGCTGAAGAGTCAATGAGTCGATGCAATCAGCTGGTTTTCCTTAGATAGAAAACTTTGAATCAATCTGACTGGATGATCTGGTGAACTGGAAAGTGACCTGAGATGACATGTGTTGTGAATTGGAGCTATAGAAATAAACCAAATTGAACTGAAAAATTCATCACTAATTTCAAAGTTTCATTAAATTTTGCGTATTTTTTTTTTACCAGTTGTTGTAGGTGTTGATAGCTGTAGGCAGGAAGGAAGTCTGTCTTGCATCAGAGATAAGCCTCTGACTGAAGACACTCGATGATGTTTAACAGTCTAATGAAGAGGATGCTCACTGTTGTCCATAATTTTCTTCACTTTATGAGGAATTCTTCATTTTTAAATAATCTTCAGAGGTTCTAGAGTAGTTCCTAGAACAGAGCCGACCTTCTTTATCAGTTTGCGGTATCGGCTGTTGATCAAGTCCCAGTGCTGTATCTGGTGTTTGTCACAACGCGCTATTATCCAAGTCATCTTGAAAACATTCTTCTTCCAAATATCGGCTACATATTACGGGTTTTTTCTCTGGCCAGAAGTTCGATGGCAAATCCTCCCTCTTCAAGTTGGCGATCCAACGACCAACCCGTCCGTGGAGGATCAGGAATCAGAAAGGTGGAATAACTCTTTTTTTCCACTTTTACCCGATGTATTCCAGCATCCAGCTGCCATGCACGTGGGCATTGTCAGTTTCACTATAGCTCTGGTGAATTTCAATGGTGAAGTCCTCTGGAAATCTTCAATAATTGTTGTTGATTGCAGATGTGTCTAGTAGTTCCCATTGATTTAGCTTGGAAAGCGGGGAGAATGGCGCCCATTGAGCAAAACTCTGTATCAGTGCGCGTGTCGTTTCAAGAATGTCTTATGACCGATACAGGAGTTGTTTCTAACTGACTCAATAACCCGTCTTAAAAAAATATATCCCTTGACATGATGCATCTGTTAAAAAAATGTCTCATCTTTTGCGGTTTATCATTAAAATTATTCTGAATTTTGGAGCAGTATTAAAGAAATAGGAATGTTTCAGCCATTGCGTTTGTGTTTTAATTTCCCCATTTTGTCATCCTTTTCCTCTCAGTTATCACTCAACTTATATGAATTAAAGTTAAAATTCAAATTTACTCTTAGTTTATTTACATTTTCCCCTAAATGTTCGCGCTATACGTCTACACTATTTATTGGGAGCATCTAAAAATATCAAAGATATTTTCAATTTAAACATAGATATTAAATAATACTATATAACCTACAATAATTTCAATGATATCATTGTTCTAGGTAGGTCATCAAATCTATTCAGTTTAGTCCAATCAGCTGCCTGTAGTGTCTTTAAATGTCCAGCAGGTGTCAGTATTCTGCAAGATAGTATCAACATATTTTGGCTTCAAGATGCCTCACTAATCCTCATTAGCGCTAGGCTAACCGCACCGTGACGTCACTGCCGCAAGATGGCAGGAGGGAGGGAGTTAATATATTTTGGGCAAAAATGGCCGCTCCCAGACTCAGTGATCACGACAAAAATTATTTATTTTTACTGATTAACGCTAAATTAATTAAATCACCGCGAACGTATTAGTTTTAGGTATAAATAATGATCCATTGATTATTCTTTGCTGACCGGACTTTTCCTTTAATAAGAAAGTCAAAATTTAATCTAACTTCGATATATTTTAATGAAAAAAACTCTAAATCAGTAAAAAAATGAAAATAAAAAGATTCAGTCGCATAAAGAAACCAGATCCCAACAGGATGCAGACCAGAGTGAACCAGAGGTGGGAAAACTTTATCTTTCTGAACAAACATTTAGCAAAAGGATCAAAGTTGATGAAAATAAAAGTTTTTTCTACAAAGTCTCCAGATGATCTTCCCGCCAAGCGGAACATCGTCGACATCTCGCTACAGCGGCAGGTAGAGCGAGTAATGCGAACACGTCCAGCGGCGCACAGGTTTGCCCACCCGGCCGATCACGGGCAGTTTGTGGGCGTAGGCGCGGGGCGGGTTGGCCGGCAGTGATGACATCATCATGAAGGTGGTCTGAAACGGCCGGCGGCCCTGGCAGCGTCGCCCCATCGGCCTCCCTCCGATGACGAAGGAGAACGCCGGTGGTCCCGACTGTGGGGAGATGAAACGAGCCTTGGGGAAAACGTCGCGTGGAAGACCGGCGGAACGCTGGCCGGAACGAGAGGAGGACGACCTGGAGCGCTGCACGGAGGAAGAGGAGCGAGCCAGAGACCTGGAGCGGAGAGAAACGGGTCAAACAAACGAGCTGATGTCACATCTGGTTCTGGTGGGGTGGGGGCTTACCTCCCTGCTCCTGTGGCGGCGAGGCTCGGAGGAGGGGGGTCGGTGCGGGGGCTCCCGTCCTGTCGCGGGCTGATGTTGAGGTTGGCGGTCAGCTGAGGCATTTTACGGGCAGTGTCGGGGTTGGCGACCGGGCCGAGGGGTTCCTTCCGGGCTTCCCTGGCGCAGGCCGGAGCGCAGGGCGGGTAACTCCCAAAGCCGGGTCCGGTGCTGAACCTGACGGCCAGGCTGTCCCCAAAGAAGGAGTAGAGCTCGCTGTACATCGCAGGAAGGGGGACCGGGGACCACTCCTCCCACGCACAGCCGGCCCCGCCCGCCTGGAGGTGACTGGCGATCCCCAGAACCGCCTCTGACAGCGGCTCTGAAGGAGGACTGAGACCCGGGGAGCTCACTCTGTAGCCGCCGGATCCCAATACGGAACCGGGCTGAGCGCCGGGGCCCCCCTCTGCTGTCTGGGACAGAGACAGAGCCTTCATCTTCAGCAGACGCTCTACCGCCACCTGCAGGCAAAACAACAACGCCTCTTTAATGGTTCGGACCAAACGGGTCACTTTAAGCGTAAAAGTTCTTTAAGTTCTGACCAGGATGGCTCCGTAGACCTTGTGTCCATCTGCCTTGACCTGCGCGTTGGACACGGAGTAGTCGTCCAGAACCGCCTGCAGGTTGGCCCAGTAAGCAGGGAGGTGTGGGAACAGAACCCTCTCCACAGCCTGAGGAACACAGAGGGATCAGTCGGACCTGAACGGGTCCCAGCTTCACTGAAGCTGCAGAACATTTAGAGGGAAGAGAAACTGTTTGGATCAGAACTCAGAGAAGCTACCTTCCATCCCAGAGCGTGGAGTCCCACCACAGCTCCGTAATGGGAGCAGAGCGGCCTGACCGGGTCGGACAGAACCTTCTGCAGGGAAAGAAGGATCTGGTGGTAGAGACCGCTCACTAGATCGCCATGAGTCCTGGAGAAGAACCGCAGACTGAGCGGGTGAAGATCATCCATCCATCCATCATCCATCCATCATCCATCAATCATCCATTATCCCTCCATCCATAACTTTCTGCTCTAAATTCTAAATTAAAATCTTGGGACTTTAATGATGGTCGTCCGTTTCTGTGAACCTGCGTCTGTGATTTTTGACACAAACATCGTTTGAAACCCTGACAGGAGAACCAGGAATAAACTGGAGATATTCCCACCAGAAGATGTGGCTGAGGAGCAGGGCTGCGTAGTCCCTGAGGGTCCAGTGGTCATTGAGGGGGTTGATGGAGGCGGCCAGTGGCTCCAGGATGCAGTACATGACGCTGGACACCAGGCTGCGTACGTACGAGCCCAGGTACAGGTAGGGGTTCTGGACCAGGCTCTTCACCATGTGCAGGAGCCTGTTGAGCTGCTCCAGATCATGGCTCACCGACTTCACCTGCAGGGATGACGCTCAGATTCAGATTAAATTCATCAGAGTAACAAGAAGCGAGGCGATCGGTTCTAGGATGGGGGCAACCTACCCCACTGATGACGTAGACAAAGTAAGGCAGCAGGGCGGCGATCTTGGAGTTAGACTGGAGGTCGAGCAGAGCCGTCTGAAACGCACAGAGGGGTCAGACAGAGGACAGGCGGCGCCGTCTCAGCCAATCAGGGCTCATCATCCTCAGCAGCTGCTTACCTTCATGAGGTGGGGGTCCTCTCCCAGGATGGCCCTGGTGATCTGCTGGTAATACTTGAGGAGGTCGTCTGACAGCGTCTGCACCGCGCTGGGAACTGTGGGGATATATGGGATGTAGAATAATCCGCATGGATGGATGGATAATCCCATCTATCAGATTACATTTGATTTCAACCATTTAACTAATCACGTTTGCTTAGTTTTTAAAGTCACTTCTGTCCACCAGAGGGCGCCACTAGTTGCCTCTTTTTCTACCAGCTCCCAGATCAGCTTCTCTGATTGGTTGATGTGATGCGTGGTTCTAAGCAGAGATGGGAAGTAGTGAAGTAAAAATACTT